TCCCCATTTTCTCATAACAAATACCAGCAGCATATAAAATGCAGATTTGCCTCTCGCTACCTATTTTCCCTTGAGGCCCAATGAGCAGAAATCTTGTTATACTGTTCCTGCATCTTTTGTCCCTGAACTTTTACAGTTTATCGACTTTCACATTCATTTCCTGAAATTAAGTGAAACACCCCCCAGAAGTAAACTACACAGGTCATGTGCTATCATATGTACAAGCAACTATGAAAAATTATAGCTCAGATTCCAGTAACATAATGAGCAACAGTGATTTCCTCCATTTCAAATAAACTTAAAATAAATAATTTCAATTAAAGCAAGAGTTTAAACTATGACAGCAATGTAGTATATAAAAAATAAGTCCTATAGAGACTTAATCTTGCTATTGTTACCTGATCATATCTAACCACAGGAAATTTCTGACTCAATCAACAGCAAAATTTCCTAAGCTAAAATCCAGATCTAAGAATGACATAAAACAGAAAAGAAGCTGGAATAACATTCTCTATGTTAAAAACAGACATTCTTCATTAACTGAACTATCCATACCCTAGGTTTACAATTAACTTTGGTCATGTTCTGAATATACTCCACTTTCTGAACAACTGGCAACTTTAGGATACAGAATTTATCTGTAAGGACCTATTACAGCCTTCTAGTCCTTTTGCATGACTGGGTTAATGTTGAATTAACCAAAGAAAACTGAAATCATCTTGTATGATTGGTTTCAATCTCAGTTACCTAACAGACATATGACAAAAAAGCACCTATGAAAGCAGTGCAAATGTAAAGGCTCCAGGACAGGGAAAGAAAATAAGAAAAAGAAGTTCAAACAAACAAACAAATAAAAAACTGTATTGGTTTTCTCAGTGGTTGTTTACTATTTTCCTTCTGGCAGATGAAAGAAGTTATCTTCTTTGAGTTTAAGATGTTCTGCTAAATCTAGCTGTCTTTTTGCTTCTTCAATGTCTTCCTGAATTGCTGAAATGAGTGCCTCTGAAAAAGATAAGAATATGGGTATTTAAAAGTTGGTCTGAATTTTGAACACAGTATCAAGTGAAAACATGGGGTACCACAAAATATCAAAAAACAATCACAGAAGTAGAATATAATTATGAGGTCTAAAGGCAGAGTTCTTTGGGTTTTCAAACATGACAGAGTTGCATTTTTATTTGTTACAAGCACTACTCTCTTGCTTTTCCAAAAGACTTTAGCAGTTCTGTTTCAATACTAATAGTATTGAAATACTACCAGTATTGAAATACTACTGCATTTTAAAAGAGAAATGAACACATTCAACTGATGCTTCTATAACAAGTCCTTGATTTTAAATTACTCCACAGACAAGTGACTGAAAAATAGTTTTCTAGTGGAAGATGTGGGGGTATGGTTTTGGGTTTTTTAGATAATGAAAACGTTTTACTGAAATTTCAAAGGTTAATAGATAAAATATCTCATAATAGAAGGAAAGACAGGGAAGACATAGAACTTGCATGAGTAAGACATAAAAGAGATTAGTTCGAGGGAGACCTTCAATACTGACCTAAGGAATCAAAGTTTTTTTCCGGTCGAATATATCCAACTATGACTATACTAAGAATTTCTCCATAAAAGTCTTCCTTGAAGGTGTGGATAATATGTGTTTCCTAAAGGAAGAGAAATAAGTGGGCATTTATTATGAACTTAAGAGTTTCTTTCCCTCTCTGTAAGCATGTAGACCTAATATCCATCATTCAAATTTTCCTCAACAGAGAACAACAAAAGGGACGTTTAGTTTAGAAGGTACAATGGAAGATTAAAACACTAGGGCTTTAGTTTATGTCATGAAGAAGAATTGCATTTTGCATGAAATTTAAAAAAAACTACTCACTTAAAAAGTATTCTGAGAGCCAAAAGGGAAAAAAAAAAAACAAACCAGAGAGACGTTACTCAGGAGAAATGCTTCACCACTTCTCAGAGGTAATATTTCCAAGGCAGGAAATCCCAAACAAAGCTTAATGTTTCATCATCAAGTTGATGCATCCAAATAACTATGAAGATTTTGATTGAAGCAGTTGGCTTAAGGTGACCTTTTACAACTAGCTCACATTGGAATTTAATGATAAAATTCAAGAACACAGTTCCACCTTACACTCAAAAACATTTTTGTTCACATCTGCCTCTTCAAAATAGGCTGACCCGTAGTATATACCAGCAGAGCTATCATATGGGAAGCTTTGAACTACTTGCTCAGGAAACTTATCTGCAAAAATTTTTAAAAGTATACATTTGCCTAAGACAAACACTTAATAGCAGAGATTCACGCCCAAACAAAATTGTTTTCAATAAATAAAACAGAGCTCTGCAAGACTCAGGGAAAGCACCAGCACCTGATAGCAAGAAAATCACAGCTCGAGATTTTAACTTCTTCATCCTATTATTACACACCTTCAAATATTTATTCTGTATATAAAGCCACACCACCTCATGTTTGGATTCCATAATTTAAGAGAAGTATTAATAAAAAAATCATTAAAAATTAAGATCTCTTATTTGAAAAGCAGATACACTGCAGAAAACTATAGATTATTAGTATGTTGCAGCTCATGCTAGGGCTCTCATAAGCGGTAAATTCAATGCATTTATCAGCAACTCGAGCAACCATCATTTCAAGTAGTGTTATACTTTTATTTTAGAAATAATTAAGAAATGGTGGAATAGAAAGAAGAAAATAAATTTTAATCACCTACATGTCTATACTCGGGGGATAGAGAGAGTATATTCTTTATAGAATATAAATATGATATAGATACCAAATGCATTTCTAAGAGCAAATTCCTAGATCTCATTCATGAATTAAATTCTGCTTATCTTATTAAAATTCAACATCTGGCTCGTGTTACAATAAAAATCCCACACAAAGCAAAATTCTTACCACTGATTTCTTAGTATTCCTATAGAAAGGGTTCCATCCTATGCTCAAAACCATTTTATGTACATCTCCATTTCCAACACAGGCCCATCCATAGTATATACCAGTAGAGATATCAGGTGGAAAGCTTTCAACCACTTGCTCAGAAAAGTTAGCTGCAAAAATTTTAGAAAGTGTAAAATGGGAGTGAATGTGTAAGTCAAGGACATAACAGGATCTTCAAATACTGAAAAGCCAAACCCTGCCTACGTACTACTTATAAATGTAACACTGGCATTCACGAGAATAATGCAACATGCCATTTGGTAAAGTATAAAACAGCTTCATAAAATTCAGTCCCTGTGGCAATACCAGAGGTATTACATCTATCTCGCATTGGCCTCTTTAGCCACCAGCGCGCCTGTAGCAAATGTGGGTAGAGTCCTTCCCAAATCCTCATTCGCGAAGCCCAGCCATGATGATGACATCTTTTACACATGCTGTATTTTACAGTTCACTTTCTCTTCTTCAATAATAATTAATAAATATGCCATATATCCAGTCAGGATGCATTTCACCTTTAGGATAACTATCATAGCTTTAATATTGTGAAAGATGAATTAAAAAAACTAAGTTTCTTCTGCACTATAAAGTAGCATCCTAGAACTATTTACTTGTTAGTAAAATACTTACCTATGAAATAAAATATGCAGGAATAAATGCGATTATTATTTAACCACTTGTCAATTTTGTACGAGTTGCCTTTTGGAGACATCTGTGGATTTCTGTGATTTTCTTTGAAAACTACAAAATTATAGCAAAATGAAATTCCCCTCTGATTGAATTTAACATTCTCTCAAAATTAATATCCTACTTCTATTTACCAAGTGGGTAAATGTCTTCATGCAAGATATGAAGTTGATTTAAAATATACATTTACTACATTTTTATCAAAGCTAAAAAACAATGACCCCCCCTTCCCTGTTCCACAGTACCAACGCGGCATTTATAAGCAATCAAGGGAAAAACGTGAAATCTTGTCAGAAATTCAGCACCACGAGAATGGTCTCGTAGAGTTTCACAGCTGTTACAATTAGTGCAATATGACTGCTGACTTCAGTGGCTGTTTAAGGCATTCAGACAACTGGGAAAGATAAGGAATAGGCAAATATATTCGCTGTAGGCGAAGCCCACCTACTCGGTTTTAACCTCTGCTTTATTCCCCCTGAACTTTTCTCTTTAAAGCGATTCCCAATACCTACTCCCTTTCTTGTTCTGAGATCTATCAGAACGGTGCCATAGCACCGTGCATGTGATCACTTATCCACATCCTGTAGACCATCATGACTAGACAGAGATCGTTCAGAGAAACCTCTTAACAGACCGAGGGGCGGGGAATAACACAAAAGGAGAACGCAAGACTCTAAGCAATGCAGGAGGGAAAAAAAGCCTCAGGAAAAGGCTGACACGGCACAAGGCAGGGCTGTTTTCGGGAAGCCAAGTCATGACAATAAGGCAGCAGTGCAGGGCAGCCGGGCGGCTCCTGGGCTGAGGCGAGCTAAGTCACGGCGCTCCCGCACCCCGACGGGCAGGAGCACGGTGCGGATGCGGGTCCGGCTGCGCTCGGGGCCCGACAGGGACCGGCTACAGAACCCCCGGCCTGGGCTCTCGCCGGCGGGAGCGCTCCCGGGGCTCCGTGCGGACCCCCCGCCAGGCCCAGCCGAGCCAGGCGGACACCCCTCCCGTGCCCTTCCCGGGAGGTGCCGCCCCCGCCCCGCTCACCGGTGGGGATGCCCAACTCCTTGGAGCCTCTGCCGAAGCCCTTCACCACCTCCCCGCGGCAGAAGTACGGCAGGTGCCTCATGGCGCAGGGCAGAGCCGCCAGCCCACCGCCGCCGCACCGCTCCGCCGCCACCCCTTCGCACACGGCGCTACCAACCGCAGGGGAGGATGGGGCGGGGCGCTCTTGCTCTCTATCCATACGGCTCTCCGGCGGGGCCTGCCCGCCCTCCGGAATGGGCCCGTCCGCCCCGCATGCCCAGTGCGCTGTATCCGGCGCCCGGAAGGCGGTCTCGGGCGGAGCGCGAGTGCCGGCGCTGTGGAGGGCGGCGGGCGCGGTCCCGTGTTCGGTAACAGCCGTGGCCTTCGCTCCTGCCCGCGGGACTCTCACGCTCCGCGCCCCTGGGACAGCAGGGCCCGGTCCCTCCTGCGGCTTCGTGCCATGGAAACTGAGCAGTGGCAGCTGTGACTGTGCTGCACCAGCTGCCACATCCTGACCCTCTCATCTGAAAGGCTGCGCGTCGCACCCAGGGCCCACGCGATAAGGATCGCCGCTCCCTTGGTAACTCTGGGTTTGCCTTTTCGTTTAGAAAAGGCCAAATGCTTCAGTGCACAGCAGACATTTGTGAAGACTCTGAGAGCAGAACTTTTTGTTATATGGTAGTAACCAACTGTAGTTGCTTGTTTAAGAAAAAAAAGGGTCAAACTGAAACAAAACCAAAAACTCCAAACATTTTTACTCACCTCTGATTTACCATCATGCTCACATTCCTTTTCTGTCATTATCACCGGTAGTGCAGGGATCTCCTTTGGACAAAAAAGCACCAAGACAGAAGTGCTCTTCCTGTGTTCACTCTATATAACTTAAAGAAAAATGAAGGGTAACAGAGCATTTCCCTTCCTTCAATTCCTGTCTCCAGTTGTTCTTTTATCTTTTTATGTTGATAAAGCTCTTTAATGTATTTAGGTGATTAAAACTCTTTCCTATGGCCCTCATCTGGCTCAAATAAATTTGAGATTCTCTAAGTTCAAAATAGTATTAAGTGTGAAAAATGTCTATAATCTTTGTAAATTACAGAGCAGCTAGCCTGCCACCAGACGGTCTGTTTGTATCAGTGATACATAAGGCCTTTTGAGTTCTAGTGTCTCATTCAGCACCGCTGTTCTGCACATAAGCATATTTGTGTTTAAACGCATAAGTATCTAGAAACACCATCAAAATCCCTGAAATGAATTTGCAGTCTTTTCCCCCTTATAGAACACAGTTGCTGATTTCACCAGTTTGATACAGGTTTCATTTGCGAAGCCTAGCCATGATGACAAGAATATTTCAGAACTTCCTTCTAATTTGGTTAGCTATTTTTTAATGGGGAAAAGCTTGTAAACATCTATGACTTGTGCTAGTATTTAATTGCATTCCAAGTAAATAACTTTTGCAAAACGGGACCTGTTCTGAGAAACTGACTTATATGTCATACTTATAAAACACTGACTGTTACCGCTTCATGGAAGCTGAGGTCACAAGCTATTTTAGATAAGAAGGCAAAAACAAATTTTAAAAGTGATTGTACCTTAAACTTAACTTCTTCAGTTTCTTTTATCTCAATTCCCCACCATCTTTTTTAGGCAAATGTTTAAATTCATTACTTCAGTAGCTTTTGAGTAGCTTTGACCGACTTAGAGAAGCACCATATATGTAGCTGTTACTGAATAACAGTGGTGGTAGAATATATGTAAGGAGGAAAAAGTGGAAGAGAAAGATATCCTGAGCATGTACTACCAGATCTATTCTGTTCTGCTGTCTCTGAGCATGTAGAAAATACCGTTACAAAAAGTGTTTTAAGTGGTATTTCATAACGGAAGTGTCTTGAATATTAAGTCCAAATCTTGAAGTCATTGCCTAGTTGCTTAACTAATGACAGACCATTAACTGCTGACAGTGTGACCCCATGGCCACTAGTTTAATTCAGCCGAAGTAGAAGAAACAAAAGCAAAAAAACCTTATTTTCCAAAACTTGTTTCTTCCTGATAGTAACGAATAATGCAGCAGGTTCGTATTTAAGGACATACATATTTGTGTTCTTTCCTCTTCTCCCCACGCCTTTTTTTTTTTTTTTTTTTGGAACGAATCCATCTTTTTAGAACAAATGTTGATGTTCTTGTGACATCCACAAGATGGCATGCGTGGAATTCTTTTTCAGCGTCTCTAGGTTTGGGCAAAAGGTTTACAACCTTAGTCACCAAGAAGACCTTGAGAAATACTAAGTCGAGGAACTATTTGTTTAAGAACTACATGGTTACTTAATTTCACAGAAGTCTAAACGACGATTTCTCTCTCATTCTGTCAAATAGTTGAAACATTTTTAATTTTTATCAGTTTTCATGATGGGGAGCTGTGATCCAGCTACATTAGTCCCCCTTGATACTACGTCCTTGTTTTTCTTTTGTTATTAATTATATATAGTTCATATTGGAGAGGGGGGATCTTGAACGAGTAGAATTTAGTTAACTAAAATTTAGAGTACTTAATTCTGCTAAAGTTTAGTGGAGTTAGTAGACATGTTTCCTCCAAAAGCGTCATCAAATTTTAGTGATGAGCATGTCTGCTGGCATTGTCAGTCAACAGAAGAACAGTTTGATAGTTCCTACTCGCAGTGAGAAAACTCGTGCTATTTCAGGCAGCTAGGGAGGAACTTCTGTTCCCTGTTTATACTACTGTACCTACAGTTTTTGTTGTTAGTGGAAGGCATTTATATTTTTTTCCTAGGATGTATATACAGCCATAGAAACCAGAATAAAGAAAGCAGAGCATGTGTTATGTTTAGGGCCTGTGTCAGGGTACCTGATTGAATATAAGCTTTGCGGACTCATCATACTAACCAATATTTATTGCACTGCAGAACATACTCTGTTCCTGTTGGTTTGCAGTAAAACGTAAGACTTGTATCGCATCACAACCCTGGGCCAGAGTCCCGTCTCCTGCTCACATGCTGTGAAAGCCTGCATTTTTATGCAGGGCTTAAGGTGAGAGCAGGAATATCCTGTTTCCTCCAGGTGATAAGGAAAAATAGCAAAACCATATCTGTTGGATACTGGGATATTCTAGCCAGACTGGAAATTCTGGTTACACTAGGCTCAGTGAAATATTCAGGAGATGACTCAGAGAAAAAAATGCCATGTAGTAAAACTAGTAGCATTTTATCCAGCTCCTTGGAAGTTTCCATTCCCAGAGTGACAAAACTCTCATTGATTCAGGAGTTCAATTCAAGGACACTCTGGCAATCCTTAATATTAGTGTGCTGAAACCAGGTGATGAAATAAAGATATGTACTAAACAGTCATGTAAGAATGTCTAACAAATACCTGCTTTGAAAGTATTTTTTCTGTATTTTAGTCTGGAATAGGAAACCAGAGAAGTTAATTTTTTCTTCTTTTTTCTTTTCTTTTTTTTTTTCCTTTTTCTTTATTATTTTTAACAGTCTGAAGTTTTGTTCTAGTTAAATAGACCTAGGTATTTCTCTGAGGAGAAATACCTGAACTTTAATGTAATGGCTACCCAAGACTGCATTAGATTACAGTGAAGCAACAGGTATGATTAATGTCTGCATAATAAGGCATAGGTGATATTATCTACTGAACATCTTCTGGTAATGACCAATCATTCTAGCAACTACCATTTGTATGGTACTAAACTATGTATGAGAGACAAAACTTGTTTGATTACTATTGGTTCAATTCAGATATTGCAGAAATATAACATAAAGGCATAAAGCTTCATGCTTTTTGAAAGTTTATATCCATGTGTTCAAAAGTTCCTTCAGCCTTTGAATCACTATTTCTCTCTCTACTGCCTTTTCTCCACACTAAACCCTCAACTAGCTTCTTAAAAATGCATAGCATTGCTTTCAACTAGCTTCCCCTTTTCTCTGCACAGCATTGTATTGTGCCATGTGAACCTGCTTCATGTTTAGTGCTCAAAATTCTCAAAATTTTAATCCTGCTGAAGAACCCAAGCTTTGCTTTTTTTTTTTTTAACAATGTCTTTAAATGCATTTTAAATCCCTCCCTAATTTTCCTTTTTCCAAAAATAGTTTAATAGATGTCTTAGATTAAATAACTGTGACCTAACTAGCTCTAATTAAGTTGGATCATAATGATGGTCCTTTGAATGTCAGGTGTGTATCACACATATTTTTTTTCCAGCTACAGCTGGCCCAGATCAAAATGTTTGTAACCAGTCAATCCCATATTATAAAAGCAATTTAAACCTTTGACTTAAATTCTAAGTTGCTACAAAAGGAAAGATACAACATAGCCTGATTAATGTTTGGCACAATCTTCAGGAGAATCCTACCAACAGAGGCTTTGGTAGCACAAGAAAAGTAATACAGGGCAAGGCATCTCAGGCAATTTATTACCTTGAAGATAACTAAATGAGATTCTCATATGTTTGAGAGTCTCTGTTCCAAAATACCTTGAATTTCTCAACAATCAACACAGATTGCTACCAGGAATCCCACAATGAAATGTAGAAGAACAAGACTGGGGATCTCAGTGACATACATTAGGAGATGTTTACTGTATTGTCATGACGTGTGCAATGCCTTGCAGGTGGAAAGATGTTAGACAACTTGGAGTTCCTGTCAAGCTATTTCTGAACAGTATTCCTGTAGAAATGGTGTGTAAGCAGTAACCAGGTGTTACAGGAAGTAGTTAACTGAGATCTGTTAAGAAAGCCACAAACAATGGGACAGATTTTTCAGCTCATTAAATTGAAGAAATATCAGAAATAACTTCATTTCAGATTTTGGTGAGTATGCATAATTTCTGTTTCTGGTAAATTGGAAAGCAAACAAAAATTATATACCAAAATATTTTCTGACCTAGAACTTAATACTACTGGGCTCTTAATTTCTGCTCTTCATTGGGAAGAATAGAAGGCAGAGATGCTAAAGGTAAGAAATCTGTCAAAAGGAAGAGCCTCTTAGATGTGCATAAGCTTAAATGGGAATGAGTACAGAGCTAAAAGGAGCAGATATTTGATGTTTATGAAACTTCATGAGTTTGGGAAGACTTTACAAGAGAAAGTAAACCAGTTTGTCAAAACAGTTGTCTTTACTGCAAGATGACATGAAGAATAAAAAATTGAACCAGTGACCACTGAATTAATTCATGGAAATGCTGTGAATAACAGTACCCTCTCAAAACCACAAGAGATGTATTGCCCCAGTGGGGGCAATAAATTTGCTTTTTTGTGTCCAGAAATAACCTGGATAGGCCCTCACCTTATTCTCTTTGCAGAAAGCTGAAAAGGTTTTGTTAGTGTTCAGCCTACATAGGACAAAGCCTTTTTACACATACAGTAACATCAGAAAGAGTAGAAGATGAAAGTTATTGTCCTAGTGACTGACATTGCAGAGAAGAGGCAATGAAGGAAATAGCTGTAATGTTTTTCCCTACATGCTGATTACCAGTTTTTAAGATAATTTTCTTTTTCCTTCCCTGGGCTTGCTTTTCCAGCCTTGATCACACAGTAAGCAATGACTGAGCAAATAAGAAAGA